ACTACATAAATCCAGCCCCCCTTTCTACCTTTGCGTGAGGCACCATCGGTACTGTTATTCCACTAAATCAGAGCAAAATGGTTATCTTTTATTTCCCTTTTCATGAAAACCACGGGTCCACCCTGGCCACCTGCGTGGTTAGTCATAGACCTCAGCCTGCAGGTGGGAGGCATGTTGGGTTCCCAGGACATGTTTTCTCTGGCGGCCACACCACCTTTCACCTTTCTCCTCACACCTTGAGTATATATTGCTTTGAGGTGATGGACACAACAAGGAAATATGTTACCAAGGCAACGGAAGGGAAACCCGGGCCCCAAAGGATAGACTTCCTCTTAAGCAGGACCTGGAGGGGGGAGTCAGAAGCACGAGTTACTACTGAATTCAGCAAGAGCTGCATGAGGCTGGGGTGGAGGTTTGAGTACCCTATACCATTAGCTTCGGCAATAACTGTTCATCATGTAGGGATTTTGTCTCTCTTCTGCATTCCTGGAGGGTTTCTGTCCTGGTGGGATGCTTGGCACAGCATCCTTTCTGCCCTGGGCACCACCTGAGCTCTTCGGTGGGGTTACACCAGCACAGAACTGGGAAAAAGGGGGATGTCTGGAGCTTGTCCAGGGCTACGCTGGTTTTGACATCTTTACCTGGTCCCTGTAGAAACCAGGAGTAGGAATGTTAGGTGACCCTTTATCCTTGCAATTGTGCTGAACCAGACCCCATGGTGGGATTTTGGGGGGTTCTGTGCTTTGCACCTGAGCTCTTCGGTGGGGTTACACCAGCACAGAACTGGGAAAAAGGGGGATGTCCAGAGCTTGTCCAGGGCTACGCTGGTTTTGACATCTTTACCTGGTCCCTATACAAACCAGGAGTGGGAACATTAGGTGACCCTTTATCCTTGCAATTGTGCTGAACCAGACCCCATGGTGGGATTTTGGGGGGTTCTGTGCTTTGCATGGGGCTCAGGGGTGGGGTGAGAAGTGTCCCTATAGCCCAGGGGGCCACACTTCCCTGGATACCTGATCCCTGCCAACACCTTCTCCTGGCCCGGAGATGCAATTCCCACCCCTTGAGCCCCCAGCAGGAGCCGGGCACCATTATCCAGCCGTGCCACATGAACAGGACTGTCCCTCTGTCGGGTAAAGGCTGTCACATCGTCCGGAGATCCCCAGTCCCCCCAGTAATTTCAGGGCTTTGGATGGGAGCGGCGGGAGGCAGATGTTGCCCAGCTGTGCGCGCTGCGTGGAGCAACACTGACATGCAGCGGTCGGCTGCTGCCATCTCCCCCGGCCTCCCCCTGCCCTCCCCCCCAACACCCACATTGGGGGGAGGGATGCATCCCTTCATGAGAATTTAGCTCTTTCCCAACAAAAAAACCCCTCCCGGCTGCTAACCTTCCTCCCCCAAAAGCAGTGTTTGCCACAGAGAAATCGCCTCCTGGTTAAAGAGGAAGGGATTGTTAGTGGCTCTCCAGCAACAAATAGTGGTTTTTTTTTCCAGCATGTTATTTAGATTTCTTTAAAAATGAGCCACAATACTGCCTAGAAGTGACCGTGCCTCTTGCAGCCCAGGGGATGCTGATGGACAGTTGTTCCCAGATGGAAAAGTGCGTGTACATGCTATATCTGCAACCCTGAACTGGGAAAGGAAAAGAAAGGGAAGAGTTTGAGATATTTGTCATATGAGATAGAATCATACGATTCTACGATTCTCTGATTCTATGATTTCAGCTCCCAGAAGCTCTGCTGGCAGCTGTGTTGCTCAGAAGAGCTTGGCCACGTCGGGTGCCCATGCTGAAAACATTGCCCTAATCCATGTGGATATATTCTGAAAGCTGGCCAGAGATATGGCATGAGTTTGGGGCTACACTGGCTGCCAACGTTCTCCCACCCTGCTGCCCAGCACACATCCAAGGTGATGTCAGCTCGTGGAGCTTTGAGGTGATGGACACAACAAGGAAATACGTTACCGAGGCAATGGAAGGAAAGCCCAGGCCCCAAATTATAGATTTCTTCTCGAGCAGGATCTGGAGGGGGGAGTCTAAAGCTGGATGGGACCCAGCTGTGGCCAGCTGGCTCAGTTGCCTTCTCAGGAGGGTTTTCAGACTTTAGTCCAGCTGTGGAGGGATTTCTGCCACCCTTGAGCACCAAAAGCAGCACGACAGCCCGGGAGTGGAGATGGCAGGGGCTGGGAGAAAAGGGACAACAGGCAAATTGCAATGTCTGATGCCAAAAATCTCTCTTTCCCCAAGTTACAGGTCAGTGTCCAGCAGTTAGCAAACCGTGCTTTTGCAGTGAAAGACCAAAAGGCACTATTATAACCTAAATAAGTGTGAAATAGGAGCAGTTCAGTGAGGAACACCTAGGAAGGAAGAAGGAGCCCCAGCCTTAGCAAATGGGGTGGTTTGAGCTGGTTTGGGTCTGTACAAGGACTTGAGGGGGCTGTAGTGGAGCAGCAGCTCGATGGGAGCATCACAGCAATGTGTGATGTTTTAACCAAAAGACTGAATCTGAGATTCTTGGAAGCATGAGAGCAGAAAGGGTGAGGAGGAGCTGGGAGAGGATTTTTAATGCGACTGGGAAGGCTGATTTGGGAATTTTACATTTAATTCATGTGTCTGCATTTAAGAGAGGGTATTGGAGAGTGTTGAAAAGAGCTACAAAATTGATTGAAGGGCTGGAGAAACGGCCTTGCAGAGGGGAGAACTTAAAGACCTCCATCTGTTTGCATTATTTAAAAAAAAAAAAGTGGTTGAGAGGAGACTTGATGACAGTGTGTAAGTACCTTCACGGGGAGGAAAGAGCGGGCATGGCTCTAAGTAACAGCCAGATGAAGTCAAACAGGGAATTAATCATCTTCATTGTTAAAAAAAACCCCACACCCCAGGACCAACATTTTGGAACAAATCCAAAGGAAAATGGTGGTGCTTTTTTTTCTCATTCTCGCTGTCTTGAAATGAAGACTGGGGTCTTTTCTGAAAGACATCTGTTAGCTAAGGCACAAGTTGCACTTAGTGGCTTGGGCTTAACATGGAGCTCCTCGGGTTAAAAGGACTGTGTGGATCCTCTCAGCGTTGCAGTGCCATCCAACAGGATGCATTAGCACATCTGTTTGGGTTTATCCACTGGGCTTCCGAGCAGGGCTAATGAAGGATGTTAACTCGGGAGCAAGGATGTAGTCAAGAAACGAGGTGGGAGGGGAAATCCACCATGGGGCTTTATTTTGCTTCTTGGCTTTTAAGGAAAAAAAAAAAAAAGAAAAAAGAATCAGAGCGAAGCAAAAGTGATGCCCTTGACACAAACACTGCGGGTGTGGAGGGGCTGGCCAGGGTCTGGCTGGTCAGAATGACCCACGGTAGCCCCAATGTGTGATGTTTTAGCCAAAAGTGGGTGGACGAGTAGCTGTCCCGAATTAATGAAATCAGTTTCAGAAGGGGTTTAGCTGTGCTGGTGCAGAATGTGCTCGTAATGACAGGCTTGGGGCCCTTCTGAGTGGAAATGCCAGATCTGGTTTTCGGAGAGTGGGATTTTCCCGACCCAGAGCACACATCTGCTCTTTTATTCCAGACAGTAGGAAAACCCCTTCCTCTGTGCTCCGGCTCCTGCTGCTGCCCCGACCCTGCTCCCACTGATGCTCTGATCCCAGGCTCCTCACCTCCACCCCATCCCCTGCATCCCTGCTCCTGGAGACTGAGAACACTTGGGCATGGTTGGATTTTGGGATGGTGTGGTGCCTGGTTGTGGCTTCTCCCCATAGTGATGAGCTCAGCCCCGAGCCCTTGATGGAGAAGCAGAAATAAGAGGTTTTGTGATATCGACTGATGGATTGTGCGGGGAGAGCCTGAAACAGCCACTAAATGTCCCACCTGCACCTCTGTGAATATCTATGACCTTCTGTCTTGCATTCACACCAAGACTTTCCAAAATCATGCGGGGTTTGGCAGCTAAAATGGTCAAACAGTGACAGCATCTCGTCCCAACCTAGTTGTGCTTTGGTCCAGCCTGATCCCAGCTCCTACTGTGTCCCCAGCCTCTCTCCTCACGCTGTGGTCCCTGCCACCAGCCTGGACCAGCCCCAGCCTTGCTGGAGCCTCCTGGGGATTCACTAAAGCAAACACGTGGAAACAGTCAAACCCCAAAAATTGGCCTTGAGTGTTTTGGGAGGGAGCTTGGGCTTGGGGAAGAGCACCTGGCTCAGTGTGGCCGCTCCCCTGCATTAGGTAACATTGGGAATAGCTGTTTAATTTGGACAGCCCTCCCTAGCCCCTTATATTGGCCTTGAGTGTTTTGGGAGGGGGCTTGGGCTTGGGCTTGGGGAAGAGCACCTGGCTCAGTGTGGCCGCTCCCCTGCATTAGGTAACATTGGGAATAGCTGTTTAATTTGGACAGCCCTCCCTAGCCCCTTATCCCCTCCCATCCCATGTCCCAGGCAACAACGTGCTTTCAATATTCAATGAAAAAAAAGCCGAGCCCTTGAGTGAAAGGTAAAATGCATGTCTGTGGCAGAAAGCAAGAGATTGAAAGTGTTACCAGTGCTTTAGGGTGGGCAATAGCAGGAGATTTGCTAAAGGGATCTGGAAGAAAAGCCCTTTTTCAAAGGAATTGTATAATCCCTGGTAGCTGAGTGTCTCACGCTCAAGGACTTGCCTCCACGATCTGCCGTCAAACGACGAGAGGATTTGCTGCTCCCTTCTGTGGATGTGTGGTACGGAAACCTTCCCACACTGCTTTTCTAAATCTTATTTGGAGGGATTTCTCTTCTAATGCTTGGGGAAACTGCGCTTTTTGAAGACCCTGGTGTCTGAATTGGTGAAAATATTTACTGTAGAGCCAGCTCTGGGGTGTGGGGTTCAAGATCTCGGTGTTTTGGAGCTCTCCAGGTGCGGGGACGAGGAGGAGTGAGACCCGGGCACTTGACCCAAGCTGCCAACGGGGTTATCTCATACCATGAGCGTCACATTCAATATAAATCAGAAGTTTGCTGAGGGATTTTCTCTCTCTCCCTCGATGGCTGACGATCCAGAGAACTCCTTGCCCCGGTGCCGGACCCTGAGCCCGTCCCACGGGCTGTCCCTGCGGGGAGTGCACGGCTTCCCGGGACAGAACGGGCTGGGAATGGTCCTTGTGCACTTTATATCGGTACCAAGATCCATAATGGGTCTCTAGTGTTAATTATTTACCCTTATTCTAGTCTATCAGTTTATATTTCAACCCTCAGGTTTCCTTGTTTTTTCCCAGTTCTCCTTCCTGGGTGGGGAAGGGATCATCAAGTGAGAGAATAATTGTCTAAATGACAATAAATTGTGGTGGGTTCCTCAAACCATAACACCGAGGCACCCTCTGCTGCCGCTGTGCTTCAATGAACACAGCAAATGCAATCCCTCCCGGTCAACGCTGCTGAAAACCTTCTCCAGGAAATTTGGGATGGACATCAGCATTTGGAGATGAAAACACATTCAAAAGTGCCACAATTGTCTGTGGAAGAGAAATTGCAGTTTCTGAGCCATCAGAGTCAGCAGCACAGAGCCTGTCCCTCCCTGCTCAGCCCTTTTGATCCAGCCTCTCGGAGAGCAGCCATAAACATATGCACCAGCCAATTTATTCGGTCTTTTGCATTTGTAGGACATTTTTGATGTCAAAAGGAGCTTAGCTTTACATTTGTATGACCTCAATGTGCTTGAAGCTAAGCTGCTTTTTAAGTGTTGTGCAGAATTGGGACTGATTAGATGTGCAGGTACCACCACCGTATCCCACTCCGGGCTGCCGATGCTCACCCCCTGCAAGAGGGGGAGGCCTGGCTGCTAATTGCATTGATTAGAAATGAGGACAGACCTGTGCTAACGCTGGGTTTGCTTGTGCTCAGGGTAGGAGGGGTGGCTGGTGTGGGACGTGGCATTTTGCAGCCCCATTGTCAGGGGATGTGACTTTTGTTGCTCTCTGGAAGTTGCAAGAAAGACGCGCCCGATGGCGATTCACAGAATCACAGAATCTTCATGGTTGGAAGGGACCTTTGAGATCATTGAGTCCAACCACAAAAAAACCAAACCAAAATAAAACAAACAAACAAACAAAAAAAACCAACAAAAAGATCCCACCAAAATAAAACACATCACATACCACACCTGCCCACAAACAGAGACAAACCAACAATCCCAAGCACTAGAGCATGCCCTGAAGTGCCGTGTCTACACGCTTCTTAAATACCTCCAGGGATGGTGACTCCACCACCTCCCTGGGCAGGCTGTTCCAGTGCCTGACCACCCTCTCAGGAAAGTCATTCTTCCTCACATCTCATCTAAACCTCCCCTGCTGCAACTTCAGACCATTCCTCTGCTCCTGTCATTATTCCCTTGGGAGAAGAGGCCAACCCCCACCTCTCTACACCCTCCTTTCAGGTAGTTGTAGAGGGCAATGAGGTCTCCCCTCAGCCTCCTCTTCTCCAAACTAAACATGCCCCGTTCCCTCAGCCTCTCCTTGTATGACTTGTTCTCCAGACCCCTCCCCAGCTTGGTGGCTCTCCTCTGGGCATGCTCCAGCACCTCAATGTCCTTCTTGTAGTAAGGGGCCCAGAGCTACATAACCACATTTGCTTTGTGATAATAAAAAAGGTGCGTGAGGCCTGTGGAGGCTGCAGGGTGGCCAGTGGCCATGGGAAAGGGATACCCGGGAGTCAGGATGAGTCTCCTCCTGGGTGGGATGGCTGAGAGCAGGAGGGGGGGATGCTCAGCACCGCTCTGCAGGGACCGAGTCCATGCTAAGAGCCGACAGGGAAAGGCACTTTTAAAGCAAAACCATCATTTCAGAGACACGAACAAGGGCAAATTTGCCTTGAGCACAGTGTATCAGGCAACTGGACCCCAAAGGAGGAGGAATTTGTCAGCCCACAGAGGCTTGGATGCTTTCCCCACACAGCCAGGTGGGGCTCCTGGTCTCTGCCCACCAAGCCCCCCCACCCCGACCCAGCAGCCGTTCGCCCTCAGAGACAGCTCTCCAGGCTCCGTTTTTAATTCACTCGCTTTCATTTATATTCAAATCAGAGGATAAATGTAGGCAACGCGTGCATTTCAGCGCAGGCAAGGCTGTCGTTTCAGAGCAACCACATAGAAGGTGGTTTATTTTTAAAATGCATGGAGAAAGAGCTGAAGACACAGAGCTCTGCGCTCTTAACTGTCGTCTTCTTGTTGCTAACGTTGGCCTGGCCATGAAAACAGAAAGATTTGTAAAAACTATTTGCTTCTCAACGCACATATTGTTTACTGGGCTCCAGCAGTGAAAATAAAGCTGTGTTTTAAATCAGTTCCTGCGACTCGTGCCCAGGTTCGCAGAGATGCTCCTAGGGATTTCAACTCTCAGGCACCTCTCTTTATTTGGTGATTTAAACAAACAATAAATGAGCTTGTGGAATCACGAAAATACTCACTGAGGAAGCGCAGCCTAAGGAATATATTGATCCCCGTTATATCAGGGCAATGCTTGAGGGGGCTCTGCAAAGGGAGGGGAGGGCTCACTCCTCAGGGGGGAGTCCTGCAAAGACCCACTGGGTCGGGCTTTTAGATGAAGGTGGGAAAGTTCCCAGCATCCAGACTCATGGGTTGTGTGCCCCAATAATGCACACGGGGCCTCACTAATAATCCTTTTTATTTCAAGCATGATTTTTGCCCTAAAAGATCCTGACGTGCTTAGAACTGACAGTGCCCTTTTTAAGCAGCTTCATGCCGACGCCTACACGCTCTGGCCAGGCTGTGACACCTCGGTCCCCACGGCAGATTTTGTGTTTCTGGTCCCTAACGACCCCAAGGGCACATGGGAATGTCAGAACCCACTTAAACCACGTTGACTTAACGTGAGTTGTGCAGCAAAATGCTGCTGGGTGCTTTGAAAACTAAGCCTGCGGAGGGGATTCGTTCCTCCTGCGTTGCAATTAATGATAATTAAAAAAAAAAGAAAAGAAAAAGTTTTTGTATCATGATTATGCTGGGTGTCAAAATTAACATCTCATTGAATTATCAAAGCTTTCAAGCAGTGGGTGGTGGAGAGGGTGGCTTGGGGCTTGCAAATAGGTCAGAGAAAGAGCTGGTTGCTAAATATCTGATGGAAACTTTCCACTGGGGAAGAAAATCTTGCTGATTTGATGGAATAAGAACAATTCCGGGGAGGACTTCGATACCCTCAAAAGTTATGCAAAAAAGCAGGCGGGGGGGCTGGGCTGACTGCTGGCAACCTGGGCTCTGTCACAGCCACCCCCCGTGCTCCCCGAGGATCCATCCTGCTCCGATGGGAGTTTCTCACCTTCTCCTTGTGAAAAGAAAACATAAAAAGCAGGGAAGTGTGACCATTCCAGCGCTGCCAGGCTGGGATGGGTGCTGTGCCCTCCACATCCCTGGCTGAACGCCCTCCAAAGCGGCCGGTGGCTTTTTGGGTGGTTTTTTTTGGAAGAGGGAATGGTTTGGGTCCGGAGTTCAGGGCTGCAGGGCACTTGTAACTCTGTTGGACATCAACAGGGGGAGCGGTTTGTCCTGCTGAAGCTGTCCCTGCAGGGATGGGACATGCCACCCGCATCCTCCAGACCCTTCGCCCAGCATCTTCCATCGCCTTTCTCCAGCGTTTCTCAGCCGGCCCTTGCTGTGCAGCCCCCAGCTTTGGGGTCGGTGGTGATCTCCATCCACGCGGAGGGTGGTGAGGCACTGGAACAGGTTCCCCAGGGAAGCTGTGGCTGCCCCATCCCTGGAGGGGTCCAAGGCCAGGCTGGATGGGGCTTGGAGCAACCTGGTCTGGTGGGAGGTGTCCCTGCCCAGGGCAGGGGGGTTGGAACTGGATGATCTGTAAGGTCCCTTCCAACTCTAACCATTCTATGATTCTATGATTCATCTGTGGGGGTTTCTACCCCTGATGCCACCAGGATGGGGGGTTACCACCGAGGCTTTGGGTTGTGTGTCCCACCGAGGCGGCAGAGACAGTCTATCATATTTCTGCAGCTTTTTATAATGATTCTCATGATAAGTCAGCACTGAAAGAAGCCAGCTGGGCCAGATGTGCAGAAATACACTCTGGTTTGGCTTGGAGTGACCAGTCCTTTCCCATGGATGGTCCAGATCCATTCCAAGGATGCCCCAAGGACCTAGGCAGCACCTTCCTGTCTCCCTCCTGCGTTGGGGTGACAGCATGGGGCCCCCTGAGAATAAAGAGATGAAACGTTGGGATGTGCTCAACTGCTCCTCCCAGGCAGAAGGGGACAATATAGTATTTTGGAAAGCAGATGAGCAGATTGGGCAGCCTGCACTGCACAGGCTCTCATGTCTCCGTGGGGAGCATCCCTGAGCTGGGAGATGGGCACAGGACCCATCCTTCGGCTGCTGAGGCTGCACAGCTTTTATTTAAAAGTAAGGATCTTTTTTTTTCCTGAACAATCATTCCTCTGCTCGGCTTCTTCCTCCTGCTTCTCATAGACAATAACCTTGTGCGAGTCGCCGGAGGAGAGGCTTGATCAGCAAACCTTCCTCCCTCTCTGCCAGCTGTATTCCCCCCGATCGGAGGGGCTCTGGGGTCCCCGTGGGGAATGACAGGCTGACAACGATTATAAAAAGCAAATCTCAGAAGGATTTGTCTCTGTGGGGGAAATGGCATGGCGTAGCTGCTGGGGAATAATAATTATATTATTATGCAGGAATAAAGTCCCATTTATTTCTGAGAAGGGGATGGGGATGGGGGGAAGGCTGGCGAGTTATTGCAGAATAATTAGCCCATGGCAGCAACGTTTCCCTTGTAGACAACCCCTGAATATTGTGCTAGAGAAGGACTAGTGGCTACACCATGTGGTGGTGGGGACGCTTGTCCTCATCCACAGACTCCTGCAGGAGGAAGGACGATGCAAACACTCTCCTGGATGTGCCACTCACCTCCGGGAAGGGATGGGAAGCCAAGAGCCGCCATGCCCCCCGGGGTGCTCCTCACCATCCATCTCCACACCATCCCTATGGATGCACTGGGATGGCTGCTGCCTATCTGGCTCCTACGGCCCACCCAGCTGCTCGGGCACATCCCGGCGTGTGGCCACGTGTCTTTGTGTTGATCAGAGCAGCGTTTTTCCCACCACCCAGGGCTGGCAGCGGCGCACGCCTGCGTCTTGCTTCAACGCGTGTGAACCAGCAATCACCCAGTTGGGAATCGTAAATAATTAATATCTGTGTCACTGTGCTTCCTCCTCCCCCACCGGCGCTGCCGATCGCTCCTCTGGGACAAGGTGGGGGTGGTGGGGGATTTGGCCAAGGTAATTCCCGGTGTCTGTCCCCCCGTGGGTGGGGGGATGCAGGGATGCTCCCCCAGGTTTCATTGTCCTTATGGCTGGTCCCCGGGTCGCATCGGCGCTGGGTGGGACACAGCTCCAGCCCTGAGGATGAGGAGCACAAAGGGGAACGGCGTGACTGTGGGTGTGGGACATGGTGGAGGTGGGCAGGGGGAGATGGGTGGAGGGGGGTGCC